AAACGTTCCCGTATCAATTAATTTTGTAATTCGGATTGCTATATTTTGTTTTTAAGACTGTTTTTATGTACACATAATACCTATACCTATATAGATTGTTCGCGCACAGACGAGCTATTGTTCTCGTATAGCTAGCTACATATATTATAATAGATTCTCGCCAATCCGATTTAGCTTCTTCGTTAACTGTATGTCTGCCGATTTTTTATACATTCCGTCATGTACGCGTTTCGCGTCTAACTCGATTTTTCCCGCTTTCTGTATGAACGGCGCACTGCGTTTGACGACTGAGAGAAAAAATTATCTTTGCGCGACGAACACGTTTCGCTCCATCGCCGAAGCAATCGTATTCGCGGGCTACGATGATGACAATAGTAATGTTATTACAATTTTTTTTATTAATCAAAATTCATCGACAACTGTGACCATTTAGTAAACATTAGTCATATAACATTTTTTGTTTTTTCTTAAGTGATTTATAATGCTCTGCGTTATTATAAAACACTACTGTTTTTATTTGGACGGAAATTTGAGCCTCAGTGCTTATTTTTTATACAGGGACGTGAAAAAGTCTTCCTTTATCTTTTTGTTTATTGCATTCAGTGATAATTTTATGTATTTAATTGCTGGACGTTATTGTGTATAACCTATCGGGTTACACATGAAAAATATTGCAGAGTCACCATTAAATATAACCTTTTGTTAGGTTAGCATGTACTACGTGTAAACGATCGATGAAAAGTATTGTTATTACTTACCTATTACTAATTAAATATCACGCGTTGCAATAACAATATGAACGTACCTGTTAGTACTATAATATTACCTATAACGCGTAGAAAAAATACACACCTACGATGGCATATGTGTACGTTTTGTACGTTTTTCCGCGTCCATTCGAGTTCATTTCCGTGGCAACCTTATGCGTTTATGGACATCACAATAATATTATACGAAACTATTATTATTATTATTATTATTATTATTATTATTATTATTACACACGTATGTGATGTACCTATATATTATGTCTATTGCACTGTAACGTCTGTAACGTTATAATATGGTATTACACGTGTTGATGTATACGTGGTGTGTGTAGGTACTGTGTGCGCGGTTCGCACGACAAAAAAAGAAAAACCAAACACATAATGATACTTTTTTTATGTAATAGTTGTACGTTTTTTTATTTTATTATTATCTATATTATTATATTTTCATAATAGGTGGAGCGTTGAATATTCACGTTTTAGTGACGTCATGTAGGTGCCTACGTGAATACCACCGCAATTCGGTCATTTATCGTTGAACGACCGTAAAACGTCACCGCACCGTGTCCATCGCAAACCACAACTATACAGTTGTAGATATTCGTAATAAACGTTTGTTCTCCCGTTTAAAAAACTCAACGTCAGGAATGCGACGATGGTTTTTAAATAAATTGGATTATCTATCTCAACAATTCGGCTACTGTTTAGTATATCAATAATCATGTATAAAATGTTTGTATTTTTTATTTGATATCCACTATGCGTTATATTCTTCATAATATTATTATATTTTATAATATGTGTCACACTACACATTTTCTGAAAACTTTTCCTACAAAAATAAAACTGAAAAATATTATAATGGTTATAATATATAGTTATTGCATACCGTGAGATAGATATATATGCACACTATATTATTATGGACATTGGACATTATTGAAAAACACATTGAACCGTGATTTGGCAGCGAACCGTTTGTTTTTATTTTAAACTCAAGCCATTAAACAGGTGAAAAGTTCTGCATCTAAACAGCAGTAGTGGTCGCATATTCGTGCATATATGTATTATACGGTTGTCCCCGGTCGTTATTTTTTCCTTCTTCTCTCGAATCTATTAAAGTAAAGTACCTTTTCGAGTTCAAACAATATATTATTTTAAACACTACTGCGTGCTTCTAAAAGTAAATAAAAATTTCATCTAAACCATTATTTTTATTACCCTGATAGTTGAATATAGCTGAAGTAGCGCTTTTACGAGACCGTTAATGACTAGGGTGAATTTCCGTGATTTTCGGTTGGCGCGAAATCGTTTTTCAATTGGTATATAATATAGCATTGCCAACCGCAAAACGTACATAATACTTGTCGCATATAATAATAATAATATATTAATATAATATCCTTTAGTAGTGTTTACTTACACTCCTAAACATTGTTCTACCCTACAAATCCCTTTGTCTCAATCGTTTTCAAAACATCACAAACAAAACAAAATTGTAAATTATTAGATTTTCGGACTTTTGTCTTTGTACCACGTACCTACCTTTGTTTTTTCATACCGTCGGTAGGTATGCATAACTCTTGACGACTGTTTAATGGTTCTTTTAATAGCAGAATAACTGTATATGCTGCAGATGTTGCGTTTATTATATTTTTTTTGTGAGGCTGTTTTGTTTTGAGTACACTTATACGTGTGCAGTGAGTCGTTATTATAAAGTTGAATTGGTTTTTACTGTATACGGCTATGTTATGTAATGTCTATAACGTTCAAAATTGAAATTCTAATTTTTAGAAACTAGATTCCAGAGCAATGTTTTTATTTTTACGTGTCTCTTATTGTTTTATTCCAAAGAAATAATAAAAGAATTTAAATGATTAAGTAATTTTTCCCTATACATATACTTGTTCCTAAAAATATAAAGTACTTAAAAAAAAAAACTTTGATTTGATTAGTTATGTATATAATATTGAAATAAGTTGTTATACTATTTTTTTTTTAATGGTTTCTAAAACATTAATAATTTTATATAATGTACGTAAGGTTCTATACTACTCATGTTGATAATATAATATGTTTTTATGTGTTTTTTAATATTTTTACCAATTTGAGTAGACGTTATATCTGTAAATTTTAATTTATCATATTTATACTATATGTATACCTATTACCTACCTATAATGATACAATATACCATTAGCAATGTAATCTTGTACATTTAAATTAGGTTAACCTTTCACAAAATATAATTAAGAAAATACCGGTGTGATGATTATATTTGCATTGTATTAAAATAATTTTTTTAAATTTCCTTTTGCATGAAATCCACTGGTTGTGCGATTAATGTATATTTGTATATGACTATATATTATACGCCTACACATGTACACACACACATATATATATACAAATATTTCGAAATATCAAGTGTTAACAAATCATAATAATATTACTTAGTTAGGTGTACGGTGCACGGTATAAATCACAATTATTTACATAGAATATTAATAATATATATATTTGTATTCAAAATAATATAATTTCTAACGTAGACAAATTAGTTGGTGGTTATTACCTTTTTTTTTTTTTTTTTTTTTTATTATCATTAGCTTGATAATTTTTAAACATTTAGATTTGATTTTTACCTTATATAGGTACCGTTAAATATTACCTACACAGTTTGAATTATTGGGTAACACGTATAAAGTATTAAAACAATTAAAATCTACAATTACATTTATAATGCATTATTTTAGGTTAGATAAATAACAAATTACTATTTCAAACTACATTTAATCGCTTTTACAGCTAAATGCATTTTTTTATTTTTTATTTACATTTCAACTGTATAGGTATTGTTGATATTCGTCATCACTCAATATCGGAAAAACAATAAACTTTCTACAGTCTGTATTTATTGTACCTATTATACATTTTATATTCTTTTTTGTTAGTGTCGTTATAAGATTTTTACCAAAAACAAAAAGAATATTGTATATCATTAAGGTACATCATTAATTAATGCTGACGGACAAGCAATTACTTGGCATTTTATCCCTTCATATACACAATTGTGTTCTTTTTTTTTTTAAATCAAATAATCTAATACAAAACTTTTAAAAGCAAAATCCGAGTGCAAAAAATATTACGAAAATATAACAGTTATTTTTATCTAACATTATTTTTTGTGTTAACCATCATATTATTATCACCGCACCGCATATGTTATAACTTATAAATTATAATACGTTATAGTAATATTATATTATTTGTCCTTCGTATGTTGTTTATTATTGCAGTAAAATTTCGCACTTAATAAAATAATATTTTAAATACTGAAATAATTGCTTGTGTTCTATAGAGATGTAACAATTGTAGTTTTATTTATGAACTTTTAACTCGATTTAACGGATAAGGCTCCGGAAAACGACCGTGTCACAATGGCTTCCAACGCCGTTTGCTCAACGGGGAATTGTTGGCACAGTCCCTAAATATAATATATATATATACCATCTATGAATCTTCAAAGGGGGCTAGATGTTCTCCTCAATTTGGGTTCGTCTTGTTGGTGTATAATAAATATTTATAAATATTTTTACCTATTTAAAAAATCGTCGTTATATGACTCATAAATCATAATACACATCATATATACTATAACCGGTTGTCTTTGCGTATTTGTGGCATATATATTTAAAGGTATCGATAAAGTCCACGGCCACAACGTGATGCTTCAAGGACAACAGTATACTTAATATAGGTACCTATAATATACAAATATACAATACTTTTACATATACGACTATAGTCGAGACAATATTGTAGTTATGCAACGTATAAGTTTGCGAAATGTTCACGATATCGTGTGTCAACCAATGCTACAGTCTCCATCAATCGATGGATTGGCTCGAGCGCAATTATTCCATTTCATTGTGTTTTTTCTCTCTCTTTCTCACCTTCCCTCACACTCCTCTCTTCCTTTATCTCACTTCATATTTATATATATCTTTCTTTCTCTCTAATTCATTAGTCCACATTTTAATAGCCAGTCGTTTTTAATGTACCTACACAAAATATAAATAATTTATGTACTCGATCTGTGCATCCGTTGGATACAATTGATTACGAAAATCATACATAATAATTATACTGCTATAGTCCGACTACGGTCATGGACGAAATGTATGCGTGTACATGACTCACCTATTATTGCCCTTCGTTCGGTTTCAGGAACACTTCAACTTTGTCGGTACAGACGATCAGCTGGGTCCGGTGCTGTTGAGTGTGAAAACCGAAAGTGTAGCTTCCCAAGAGCAAACCAGACTCTTGCTGCGGCTGCGGACTGGCACCACGCATGAACTGGTACCTTCATCATGTGCCGTTTCAGCGCTCCACCATATGGCCAGGGTAAGTAGTAATACTATTATATTGTATTGTGTTACTCAAATATCGTTAGAAATAAAAAACAAATGGGTAATCCCATTCGTTTCTGTCGTAGTTAAGACTTTCCAATATCTGTGGGATCTACAAAGAGGAGGTATCGCTGTATAATTCGCACCAACGCTCTTAATTATTATTTGCAGAAATATCTTCTCTCAGCTTGATCTGATGATAATATAGGATCGTTACTTGACGATCATTAAATTCAAGATAGTCATAAACAAAATACCATTAATCATACAATGTTTTAGTCATAATGATAGAAACAGTATTTTTTTTCTTTTCTATTATTCGGTGTCATAATGATATCATATTATGCATGATATTATTCATTTTTATAGTTTTTTTTCACTAATAATTTTGAAAAAATTCACTGGAGTGAAGATCTAGAAATAATAAATTAATAAACACCGTTGCTTGTATTAAGTATTATATTATTTTTTTAAATAAAATTTTGTTTTATACACGCGCGTAGATGACACACGTGTCAGTAACTCGTTAAAAACACATAATTTGTATAACTACATCACACTACACTTTATTTTATTTCTAGGCAAACTGTATTTTTAATATCATAATGTCATATGCAATTTATACACAAAGAATTTATATTTTATTAATACCATGCCATTTCATAAAGTGTATACAGGTTTACTTCGTATAAAACTTTTCGACAAAATGAAATGTTACAGAAAATTGAATTTTCGTGAAATGGTCAAGGTCTTTTAGGAATTTAATCCCCTCTTAAATTGCTTTAAAAGTTTCAATTCACCATTCACTAGTTGGATAATGGGGCTAAAGTTAAAATTGAAGTATTTGTGGAGATGAAAAAGTTTTTATGATATTAACGAAATTTATGAGATCAATAATTGTATCAAGTAAAACTCATAACAGCATATTTAGACAAATATTATGTTATGTAGTTCAGAATTGCAGATAGGTAGATAATATTATCACCGATTCATATTACTTAAATTTAATGTTTTAATTGGAAAGTTACTTCTGAATTTAAAAGGTTTAGGAAAAATCGTTGGTAATTTGCGCCTAAGTTTTTTTTTTTTATTTAATGCGTCCTTACCTATTGATATAATCATTAATTAGTTTATAATACTATACTAAAGAATGTGAATACATAATTGCTTAAATTTAATGAATAAAATACCTTGTATTAATCATAATTTGTATTCCCTATTACTATGACTTCAACAAAGCACGCAAAAATAACCGCAATAACTATAAAAAATAATAAGTATGTTTAGATAAATTCGTGTTAGTTCTTAGTACTTAAATACATAATAGTTACATACTTCATTAGTTACTTAAACTTAGTTTAAAAATAATAAAAAAGTATTAAAATATATTTTTGTAATAAGACTTAAATAAAATAATAATTGCAATATATAGTAATAATTTTAATTAAATTAATTTTCATAAAAATATGTTCTAGATACAAATTATAATTAAAAAACAAATAACTCTAATGCAATTTAAGGGTTTTTTTCAGAAATACTTCAACTTAAAAGTTATATATTTCTCCAATCTATAACGTACGATTATTGATTTTTGATACATAATTTATGTCGATAGCATTTATATTATATGCCAGTTTATTATCGATTTTTTTTGTTTTTACATAGGCAATAATTTCACCAGTTTTATAAAAGGTTAATTACGATATTAAAACCAACAAAACAAAATTTGTCTAAATTCAAATTTTCTGTTATATATTTATAAGACGGAAACCACTCATAATGTGGTCATCGTGTACTCTTCACTACTAATTAAGTCGTGAATAAAAGCGCGTGCATTTTTTATAGAAACACCCTATGGTCTCCATTCGCATGATATTAAAATTTTATAACCACGGTTGCAATACGGTGCACTTGGTGCAGACGCATAATAATAATAATAATAATATAAACGAAAAGAAAAGCAATATTCTAGGATAGTTGGCGATCCGCCCATGAATGGAAACACGATAAATATCATAATAAACATCATTGGATCTCTGCACTGGCCTGGATAAAAATAGTCCAGACTATATCTGTTGACGGCAGGACGGTTTTTAATAATAACAATAATGCACATTCTCGTTCTAGTGTTTTTATTATTATTACTGAATTTCAGTACCACGTGCTGTTGCACTGCCCTCGCTGTTATAAGTAACATATATATATATTTGTATAATATTTTCCCGCACAGTTAGTGTTTATCAGTGCAATAGACTATCGTTATCACTAAATTAAATTTTAAGAGGTTTCGGACGTTATAAAATTATTCATTGCATTAAACCAATAATTAATATGCATACTTGTATCGATTTGTATAATCAATAATATACGTAATTCAATAAATATACATATGTGTGTTATGTTGTAACTATATTATTTTAGACGCATAAGTTTTCAACTCTGCGTTGCATCATCTATTATAGTTTCAAAAAACTCGTTTAAACAACTGTATACTAACCACCCTGCTAAGGTTGTTTTTGTACGCAAATCACAAAAACTACAACTCATTATCGTCTATCAATTATTTACGTTGTACCTAAATATTTTGTCGTAACCTTCAACATTCCGTACCATTACTTATTTAAAATTAATAAATATTTTATTATTCCAATTCTATTAAACCTAAAGGGTATGAATATTGCTTGTTCTTACAGTAACATTAACATATCAAAATTACAAAAACACCTTATTTTTTTTTATAAACATTTAAAATTAAAATATGAAAAATTAAATTTTTTCCATCTATGGTTTTAGTTATTTTATAGTTTAAAAAATATTATTTTTAAAAGAACTTATTGTTTTTGACAAAAATCAATTAATTGTACTATATTATGTATATACAAATAAATTACTAGCATTAAAATAAGTTTCCTTATAAATATAGGCTGATAGATCGTCTTTATTCAGAATCGTTTTTCGTATGCAATAATTTATCTTTCGATTTAAATATAACGCATCCATTACAGTGATTTATTCATTGACAATTCTTTCAAAACTTAGGTACTCGTATAAGAACAACTTATTCTTGTCTTGAAGAGTTATCTGCTAGATTGCAATATATTGTTTGCAACTTAATACTATTTAAATTTTACTCGTATTTAATATCTTTTCGTAATACGATATGAAACAATTTTAAAGCTTTTTTTTTTATTTCTTTTTCAAATATACCTATAGAATATTACTTATAAATCGTAGGTAATTAATCGAGATAATGACTGTGAAATTTATTTTAATTTTTAATTAAAAATATAAAAAATGTTTTGTTCCTATTAGTTGTTGAACGATCAGCTATCAGTTACCAATATGTCACCCATTTTGAGTTGTAAAACGTCTCAACTAATTGCCGCCTACGACGAACATGTTCTTGTGTCGCACTTCAAATTTGGTGTATTATATCAAAAGTACGGCCAAACTAGCGAGGAAGAATTATTTTCTAATCAACATACTTCGCCCGCGTTCGATCAGTTCCTCCAATTACTTGGCCAACGAATACAACTGAAAGACCACAAAGGGTAAGCACTTATCACATTTTACTTTGATATAATAATTATTAATAATTATTTATTTACTCTGGATTAAGGTACCGAGGTGGTCTAGACACGCAGTTTGGTCAAACTGGCGACGAAGCTGTTTATCAAGTGTTCAAAGACAGAGAAATTATATTCCACGTATCTTCTTTGCTTCCGTACACCGATAACGATCCTCAACAATTGCAAAGGAAAAGACATATCGGTAAGTGTATAAATGCGCGTCATGTTATAATAATTTTCAAAGATGGTTATATCGTTTGGATTTTGGATTATTAATCTTAACTAATTGAATTTTTCTCTAGGTAATGACATCGTGGCAATAGTTTTTCAAGAATCTAATACCCCGTTCACTCCAGACATGATAGCGTCACATTTCCTACACGCCTACATCGTCGTCCAAGTGATCGAGCCCAACACTCCCAATGTTAGGTACGTAGAATTTGAATGTCTTGCTAATAATAAAATTAACACAAAAAATTTTTAACGACCTATTATTATGACTTATTTTAATTTGTCAAAACTTTCGTTTGCAGGTATAAAGTCAGCGTGACCGCCCGAGACGACGTGCCCTTTTTCGGACCCACGTTGCCTAATCCGGCCGTGTTCAGACACGGACCAGATTTCAAACAGTTCCTTCTCACCAAACTTGTAAATGCAGAAAACGCCTGTTACAAGGCCCACAAATTCGCCAAGTTGGAGGTGAGTTTTGCGATATACAAATTTAGCATATTATGTCGATCGTAGTGTCGGGTTTTAATAATAATTACTCATTTACTTATATTTGTATGGCGTTTCCAGTTGAGAACCCGAACGTCTTTATTGCACTCATTGTGCGAGGAGTTGAAAGATAAGACCAAAGATTTTCTGGGACACAACGAAGGCGGCAGTAGCGGCACCAGTGCCGGGACGGGCGGTTCGAGTGGTGGTCTAGGCGTCGAGTTGACTAAGTCGACGGCCTCGTCGTCGTCGTCGTCGGAATGCGGTAATGGTACTATCTCAGGAGCAGGCAGCAGGTTCATAGATACGGTACGCAAAGCGCTCATAGCACGGGTGAAGACCCAAACGTTGTCTAACGTTGAGGCGAACAACAACGTGTCGGGCGGCCTATCCAAGAAGACCAGCAGTTGTTCGGCAGACGGTTCCATACCGAGCGTGAGTTAAACCACATCTGTCCATTGTTATTATTTTCACGTGTATAATTACTATCATCGTGACTAACGAAATGTTTATGTATGCGTTTTTTATTTCATGTTTTTTTATTCGTGAATACAGTTTGGCAGATCGTTGTCGAAGAGCAGCAAAAAGAGTTCGCCCTCATCACCTATATCCAGTCCGGACATCCATCCGGTGCACAGGACTTCCAGGTACGTCTATCATACAATAATATAGTGGTGCCGTACGCGCACATGTAATCGTCGTCGACGTGGGTCATAATCTTTGTGATTTCTTGTGTTTTTGCAGCGGAGCTAGCCGCGTGGCCATGTCAGAAAGCGATTCGTCGTCGTTGAACAGCGTCGAACTCGATGGTTTGGGCATGGCAGGGGCCGTGGATAGCGACACCGGTCTGGAGAGCATGTCGTCGGCTGAGACGCCCAGCGGCAAGCCATGCAGCATGTGCTGTTGTGATGCACCGAACAACGACTCCCGGGTGGAAGGTCTCCGGCAAGAAGTAACCAGGTTAAAGTGCGACAAACTAGAGCTGTTAAGGCAGAATGTGGTAAGTCTCTTCTTTTCACGCGTATCTCTATTTTTTTTAAACACAATTTGTGAATTCGTAATTATTATCGTCGTCGTCCGTCCGTCTACTTTTTAGTTCGCTCATAATTTCATTGATTTTTTATTTTATTTTTATTGTCTTCCAGAGTTGTCAACATGAAATAAAGAGGCTACGAGAAAAAGAACTGGTACTACAGTCGGAACTCACGTCCGCGTCCAAGGAGATTCTTAGGTTGAGGGAACTGTTGAAAAACTACACCACCAACCCCAACTCGTCGACTGTTTGAATATAGGTATAAAATAGTCATTGTGTTTATTTTTTATTCGTGATTACGTATTAACACCAAACTAGATTGTCAAAAATGTCCGCGATTTTATCACTTTGTACCACATTTATATATTTTTAATATTTATTTTTGCTATAACTGTTGAAATATTCTATAGCGAATTCAAATTATCATTATTACTATAATAAATCATTGTAAATTATAAGAAAGCTCTTTATTCATTTAAGCTGCCGTCATTATGACGCTAATTATTATTGATCGCGATAATTTACGTCGATAGTTTTGCAATCTAGTTGGTCTTATATTATGTAACAGGGAACTGACATAGCCTTTGATTTTAGTACGTTTAAATAGAATTTTTCTAAAAAATTATTGTTTGCAGAATACCTACCGATTTGGCGACGAAGGAAGATATAAAACTATCACTTGTCGTTCACTCGCACCGTTGCAAAATTATTTAAGGTCTGCGGCAAATATTTCTTCTTGGACAACCATCTATGGCCACCAGTGAATAATAATATTCCATCTTACGAGATGGAAATAATATAGCGTAACGCGATACCAAAGTATTACATATTATATAATTATAATTTTCAAAACGATTTGAATATATCGTTATTAATCTATGTCGGATTGTATTTATACCTACTAAAATTAGCGTTAATAATGTAAATCCATTGTTATATTTATTTTTAATTGTGCTTGTAATCGTTAAGAGAAAACAATAATATTGTATAAAGCATATACCAAAGTATTAATATTTGACGTTTTAATAATATTATTTAAAACTTAATTCTGTGTGAAAACGTTAATTCGTTAGTGTCAAAATAGCATCGTTTGTGACGTAATCACACAATTTAATGTTAATTTATTTATTTAATTGGTTGATAATTTATTGACTGTAAAATTCATCCTATATATCACAAAAATTGTAAATACAATTATTATTACATAGTTTTAAATCTTAAGGGGTTTTTTTAAGTCTGTAGTAGTAAAAAAAACTTAACAAAATATTACCATTTACATGTTGGTGCAAATAAATTGATCGTAAAATATAGTTTACAATATTATATCATACTTTTATTTATTTCATTTTAATTTTCAAATCATAGAAATTACCACCGTAATAATACCTAACCAATGTATGAATTATACATTTTACTATTAATATTTATAACTTTTTTTTAAGTATTTTTTTTTAATTATTCACTCATTTGATATGTATATGTTTATTTCTATGAAGTAAATGTCCTATGTGTACTCATTATCTCATTATTTAAATAAAGTCTCATAAGTGCATGTATTTTTATAGTGATAAGGAACTAATATTATAATATCAATGATATGATACTTATATCTATTATACTTTTGTAAAGTCTATCATGTTTTTGTCAAAAATTTATTGGGAAGAGGAAAAATAAAAATAAAAAAATTTAGTTAATATTATATTGTTGATTATAATAGACTATAATAGTATTATTATGGTTATTTTAACAGTATTAATTTATAGATTTAACGGTAGTCTAATTTTAAAAAAATACGCACCTAACATTTTAATATTATAATACTCGTGTATACTTACATATAAAATGTGATTTTTTTACGCACAAATGTTTGTTCTTCAAAAAAAAAAAAAAATTAATTGGAAGAAATGTATGTCAATTTATATTATTATTTCTAATTGTATAATTCTTAAATGATTTATAAATACCTAAAACTGTAAATGCTTATACAAATACTTAAAAGTTCAAGTAGGTACACACATGTATACAGAAAACTTGTGTCCGTTCTGTTTTAAAATCAGGCACAATAATTATATTTTTAATTTAGCCTATATATGACTATATGAGTGTATTATGTTTTGTTATTATTATTATTATTATTATTATTATTATTAATGCAATAAATGTTAATTTTTATGCAAAATTCATTGATTTTACAACAAATCCTAAAATTAATTAGTATATATCAGACTTTCTTGTCCATGTATGTTGCTTATTTATATAAAAACTGTATTATCAAAACAATATTTTCTGATAATATAGATTTATGTTATAATGCAATCAAGGTAAATAATAAGAGAGAACAGTAGTTATATGAACATGTTCACTTTAAATTGACTATATAAGAGCATCTTCAATCTCGAGCAAACTAATGGATATATGCATACATGCATATAAAATGTAATAAATAATATATATTTTAATATTGTACAAGTTTGGTGAAAGTACAACGTTCCCCCCAAAAGTATATTCTATAAAAATACCTATATTTATAATATATATGCTCTGACTTAAAGATATTTTTAAAGTTTCTCAGAACTTAATATCTAAAAACCCTTAAAAATATTTTTCTTATTTTAAACAATTATCTTTATTTTTATAATGAATTAATTATTATTAAATCATTATCCTAATGGAAAAAATTGTCTTTACCGTGTTACCTAATCTATAATATAACATTATCAGATATATAATTTTGTAATTTCTAAATACATTTATTAAAATGAGTACTTATGATTGATTACTAACATCATGCTTTATAATTTTTTCTACCCAAAAATGGTCATAATGTTATTATTTATAAGTGATTTTATAAACAAATAATTTTTATTGCAAAAATGAATACCTATGTACTCATATTAAACATTACTTACTCATAAATCATAATCTACTTAAAAATTGAAATATTTTAAGAAACTAATGCATGAAGATAATATTTCTTCTCATCTTTAAGTTTTATAATAATCCAATTCATTAATAGTAAACTTAATAACACAATATTGATTTTTCTGATAATAGGTGTTTTAAAAAACCAAATTAAATCACTGAACTGAAAATGGAATCCTTTTATTATAACATATTCATATAATGGTATAATTATTTTAATGCAAAAAAACTAAAATAGGGTTTTAGTATATACTCATAGAATTTTTTTATCTATGTATTTAAACATTTAAAATTAACTATTTAGCTGTAAAACGACAAAAATTCTACAGTCGTCTTATATTTTTAATTTTATTAAATAATATTATATTGTAGTAGTTCAATGTATATAAAACTATATACTGTACTACACACTGGGAAAGTGAGAACAATAAACAAATTAAGTACTATTACCTTTTAAATAATTAACTTGGAAAAATAAGTTGTCTCTTTGTAAATACTTGAAAAGATTTTTCAAACATAGCACAGCTGACGTTTACTGAACTTAGCAAACTTGGATGATTCTATGCTAACAATTTATATGATTATTGTTTCCAAACTATATTTTTGTTTAAAAAAATAAATGTCAATAATTGTAAAATATAATAATATATATTTTATGTATATGTACCTATGTATAATAAATAAATGTCAAAATAAATTTAATATGTACATACATACAATAATTTTTCACCTCTTTTTAATTCAAATTAATTTTTTTTCCCCGATTATTCGAAGACTTGATAAATCAAAAACCTTTATAAATCGAATTTTTAACTTGGTCCCCTGAATTTCGAATTATCGAGTGACTACTGTACTGTAATATAATCTGTTTTGCAATTTTGCAAAACAAAAAAGCTTATTTTAATCAAAATAATAACAATATATTTCTCATGTTTACTTAAATTTTAAAATATCGAATTAATTATAAATTCTATCAATATCAGTAAATACCAAACAGCAATAATTGAGATGATAACAGATTACAAACTGGCATTATTGTTTGTATCTCAAATTCGTTGCGTAAAAACATATCTTACATTTTTACCTTTAAAATGTTGTATACCCCAACTTAATTATTGTATTATTTATTTATCTTTTGCATTTGAACTGATTGGACAGTTAAAGAAGTCTATTATATACGATAAACTTGTTTATTAAATTTAAATTGAAAAATTAATTAGATTTTCGTTTTATAATAATTTGATTAATCGACCTGACAATAGAGTTTAACAATTTAATAATAAATTCCATCGAAAACAATAGTTTATTATCTGAGATTTTGAATAACTTAACCCTTTATCTGTTTTGGCTTCTTGCGCATAATAATAAATAAGAACGTAGGCGGCTTAAAATAAATAAGACCATAAGACTGAGCTTAATTATAGAAAGCAATATTAATAATTATATAGGTACCTACGCAAACAAATAATATAAACAACTAAATATTGTAAAACAAGTTGAATCAATCAAAAAAAAAATAATTAATTAAATTTATATTTATCCAAAATTGCACTTCGTTCATCAATAAAATTGTTATGCGTCAAGTGATAGATCAGTCGATCAGTGCAGTGACTGGGATGATAGATTATCGTATTTTTACAAATACCTATGGTAATAATATAAATTCTTTTAAAATTTTTGTTTGATTATATTTTAATAGTTCCATACTTCCATGTAACTGGTGGTTAATATGTTTCAAATACATTGTGGGTAAACGCAATGACTATAGTATTATGAATAGAATTGCAGGTAGGTGATTAGTATACATTTGGATTAAATAATCTGTTTTACCACACACCCAACATTTAACACATCCGATTAATTAGTTTTTCTATACCACACGATAGTTTATTTTTTTTCCAGCAACTCATCATGTTGTTTACTCTGTAAATGTTTCACAAAAACAGTAGAATATGTAAAATTGTAAAAATGTACATAACGTGTTATAATTTAAACTATAAATAAATTGAATACAAATTTGAATAAACACAGCCGTTTTTACCAACACCATTAAAACTCTTTTTTAGTAAATTAGAGACTACTGCTATTTGCAGGGTGAATAACAAAAAAAAATATATGGCCTACACAGACTACTTACACAATAATATAGTAATGCCATTAAAATCAGTGTACTTTCACACTGTAAAACGTTTAAATTAATTATACAAATTGATCAATCAAATAATACCACGCTTATTTTATACATTAATCAAATCATTAAATAAAACTTTAAATATTATTTTTTACTGTATTTAATATTATATTATTATGTTTTAAAATTCAAAATAGTTAATTTTTTGAATTGATTACCTACATGGAAATTTGAAAAAACTTCGTTTATTTCTGAATAAGTTATCTCACAAACAATGTATTACTATACAACAAAAAAACACCGTCAAGTACCTACTAGGTTATGCTATTTGAAAATTAATATAAGTTTTATTTATTAGGTTAGCTATTACCTACATATAACTCATAAATACCTTTTTTTGGTAAATTAATTAATCAAAATAGTTTTAATTGTAATGCATTTACTATTTTATTCATAAATAATTTAAACGGGTTATTATTTTATCAATATTATTATACTTGATAAATTTAAAATTAATTATTATGTATGTTTTTCGAGCTGTTACAAAAATATATTATAAATTTATAGTATTATGTTGCTCTTATTATAATTGCACGTGTATTTTTACTAAATATAGTGAATAGTTATTACAATTCAATAATAATTTATTGAATATTAAAATTAAAATTATAGATAGGAATATAATTTTAATATAAATCAATAAAAATGTTAAAAATGTATTAAAACAATTTATACAAAATTAAGTTTTTAATATGATAATCCAAATTTGTTGTATACAATTTGTTTATATTTTATGAAATGAGCTAATAAAAATGTCAATAATTAAACTGCAATTATTTACAAGTTAGTTGTGGATTTATGGAATAAATTACTCGTAAAACTAATTAACACCTCCAAATTTCATTCTACTTGTAC